GGGAGGGGAGGGGGTGTGGGTGTGGATTGGATCTGGGGCTGGGTCTGGGGACGTGAAGGGAAATTATGAAGTTGAAGTAGGTATGCTTTTTGGTGATTTAATGATTTGATGGGAGGTTTTGGACTGGATGTCATTAATGCTTGAATGAGGGCAGGGCCAAGAGTAGAGTAGGGGTCTTTTTTTTCCTTGCCTTGCTCGAGTCTCTCTCTCTCCTCCTTTTTATTATGGGAGTGTAAGTGTAAGGTGAGGGTGTGGGTGTGGGGGAGGAAGGGAGGGAGTTCCTTCCGGAGGATTTCAATGATGGGATACGTAGGTAGAGGGGACGGTGGGATGAGATGGGATGGGAAGAGGTAATGATTGTCGGTTTTTTTTGATGGATTTCTTGATATAATCTTTTGGGGGATGATGTCAGATTAATGATATTGTTATGATGGTACAGAGTAGGAGGACTGTAAAATGGGGATAAATAGAGTTTGGGCTGTCTTGCTTTCAGTTATTAATGAGATGGGGACGAGGCAATGATTGACGTTTTTTGTGATGGATTTCTTGATATCATATCATTTTTGGGGGGGGGGGGGGNGGGGGTGGAGAGGGGATGAAGTCAGATAGGTGGAGGATATTTTTATGATAGTAAGATTACGGAGTAGGAGGACTGTAAAATGTTTAAATGGGGGTAAATAGTTTGGGTTGTTTTGTTTTTAGGTGTTGGTTTGGTGGGTTGGATTGGTTTGGTTAGGATGGATAAGTGCTATTCACAAAAGTAAATACACAGCAGGACGTTTCGCAGGTTAGGTAAATTTAGGTGGTTGGGGTTCCAGGGCTGGGATGTTTCCATGTGATGGATACAGTACCATAGCTCGCATAGGATAGGATAGGACGGGAAATACCCTATTTCTTTTTTTTTGGTTGATGTGTGGTTGCTTTAGCTTGGAACTCCGAAGTTTGGTTTCGTGTTGATGCTAAGCTTTGATGCTTGGCCTGGTCTGGCCTGGTGATAATACAAGTACAAGTATAGCTAGGTCCGTACGGAGGCAGTACTAGGGACGGAGTGGATGGATGGAAGTTGGGTTCCAAGAAATCCTCTTTTCTTCTTTCCTCTTTTTTCTTTTTCTGTTCTGGATTGCCTCCGTGAGCGCTTGTTGTAAATGCTTGACTTTCTTTTTCTATTTCTTTCCTTTTGGGACTCTATTTATTTATGCTTTTTTCCTTGGCTTTTGCCCCCTTCTTCTTCTTTTTTTTCTTTTTTTACCTACGGAGTACTGGATGGAGCAGAGTACGGACAGAGCAATTCTAGTTACCTAGAGGTAAAACTATTTTCCTGGACTCTGGAGCTTCGCTTGGGCTTGGCAGTTAAGCGCTTTGGGGTCGGTTCGTAGTCACCAGTCCCCTCACTTCCTCCCCATAAGGTACGGGCCCGTGATGGAGGGGTTTACGACACCCAGTTTTTTGGGCTTCGTGACCCCTTTGAGGGGTGGGATAGGATGGGTGGATGATGGGGTTTTGCTGCGTCGCGATGGGTTTCGCTGGACAGATTCCACTTGGTGGTTCGAAGTATGGTAGCCTAGAAGCTGCGAGGGGCCACAGGGTCGTTGTTGGGATGCTTGTCGAGTGTTTTTTTTGGTGGTTTTTCTTGGTTATGGGGGAAGTTGGATTTGATAGACGGCGGGCGTGTTGTGCTTGGCTTTGGTTTATGCTTGGGTTTCGCTTGCCTGCCTGCCTTGCCTTGCCTGCTTGCTGCAGAACAAATCTTACCCGCTGTTTTCTTCGAGACCCTGCATTGAAAGGTCTCATGCATGGATATGTGGAAGGAAATACTCAAATGGGGTTTTATTGGTTATTTTTTTGGTTAAGAGGATCTGGTCATGTCGTCTCGTGCTCCTTTCCTTTCCTCTAGCAAGGGTGTGAGTTTGGAGACGAGGCCTTTTCGTCTTTGAGTACGCGGGCGGGCTGGGGCGGAGTGGGGGGGG